GTTTGGACTCTCATTCTGACGGCACCCATTCACTGCAGAGGATATGTTACCTCTATTTCAAAATAGTTAAGAAAACATGATTTGGGACATGGGAATTTGTCAAGCGCTTTTTTAAATGATTATTTTTAGGTTAGGTACTAATCATGAATTTGTGTTGAATGGGGTACATTTATGCATGGGAAACTATGTGGCATGAAAGTTGATTACCATTTCTTGTAAAATATGCAGTATTGTTTCATGGGGACATAAAATCCAAACTGTAGAAATGACCCAATTTGACTTTGCATTGAATTGAATTGACTGTGTTTAACACCTGGTACGCAGGCGAGACGTACTGCTGGCGCAGGTGCATCTCGTGGCATGGCGCTCTATGAGGAGGAGGTAACTGCATCATACATTGTGTGAATTAAATATGAAAATAAATACTTGCAACACTGTGTTCCCAAGAGAGCATTATCATTATTGTCTTTTGAGATTCTGGATGGTAACTATCATCATTGTGCTGTAGCGTAAGGCATTTAACCTCCGTTTCTCCTTGTTGAACTGAACCTGTACACCTGTGTGCATAATAAATCATCTTGTTAAATGGTTCAGCTAAATGACTGATCTGTTAATTAGTGTCTACAAGAAGATATATGGGTTTACTCATCTTTTGTGTGGCTTTGTAGTTGAAGGACGATGAAGAGGGAGGGGAGAGGGGACGTATCCTGATTTCTCTCACTTACAACAGCCAGCAGAGTCGTCTGATTGTGGGTGTAGTTCGATGTGCTCATCTGGCAGCAATGGACGCGAATGGCTATTCGGACCCCTTTGTAAAGATGCAAGTATACAACAATCTAATAAAAAGCTCCAAAAAGCACTTCATAAAGTGTAATTAAAATGTTCTCTGTAAGAAGAATCATTTGCTTGGTGGAATTGTTTTGTGACAGTCATTACGCTTATTTAACACGCTGTGTTTTGTGTCTCTGAATTTTCATGCTATTTTTCAGTTACTTGAAGCCTGACATGGGAAAGAAAGCAAAGTATAAAACTCAGATCAAGAAGAAGACACTTAACCCTGAGTTTAATGAGGTACTCTTTCTTTCTGTCTGTGGCGCTATAACCTGCAGTGAACAGTGAGCATCTTGACGCACTCGACACTGACGTGACACCATGACAGTGCTTTAATACGCTCTGACACTATAATGAAAGGAAGTTTTTTTTTT